TGCCGGGAATACGATGCTGCCAGGGTGAGAGTGAATTGTCTGATGACTTTTTCCTACGTAGATGCAACATGAGGTGAAATAGCTTATGAAAGAGTGGAGTGATCTATAATTAAGAATAATTATGGATAAAATATAATGTCTGTCTTCCTCCCCCTCCAGGGTCAGTCCTGTAGGGCAAGGGCAGGGTGCAGGGCTTGAGCAACAGCGGCTGCTCAGCAAGAACAAAGAGCTGGCAGGGAAATCCTGCCAGTTCTTACCAGGGACTGGGATAACTGGGGATGCTGGGACATGAGGACAGCTTTGGCAGCCGTTTGGCTGTATCTGAGAGCTCGCAGTGATAACCCATGACTGGTGGTCACGTAAGCAGACGTGGTGTGAAGGGTTGAGCCTCCAGCTTGGCTCCTGGCACGGCTCTGCACCCTCTTTTCCCGGCTTTCAGCCTCTTTGCCAGGAAGCTTTTATTGTGGCCGCAGCCTTGTCTCGTGCAGGTTGAACGGAGCAGAGTCCAAGGTTGATTGGAGCTGAGCGTAGGGTGGATTTTGACCTGTTAGGTGAGAAAGTAGAGACGTGGTGTCAACTGTGTCACTGTGACAGCGCAAACCGAGCCTCGGTGGGGGCTGAAGGTTGGGCAGGATCATAGAATCATAGGATATCGGGTTGGAAAAGGCCCATAGAATCATAGGATATCGGGCTGGAAAAGGCCTCAAGGATCATCTGGTCCAGCCTTTCTTGGCTAAAGCACGGGGCAAAGGAGAGGGGAGAGTGATGGGCTGGCTCAGGGGGTGATTTGTAACGTGCACCCCAACAAGTCAGAGGGTGAGAGAGGGGTTGAAAATGATCTCAAGGGCCTGATGTCAGTTGAGATGAGGCAGGCAGCCCTTTCAAACCACTGAGCATCGAGCCAAGACACACGGGAGACAAATTTCAGTGTTACTAAGCTGGGTGATAGTGAATCTGCACCCTTGAACTTCCAAAAATAATCAGTCATAGAGCCACGGAACAGCCCGGGCTGGAAGGGACTTTGAAAGTTCATCTAGTCCGACTTGTAATGGGAAAAGGAGCCTGGATGAGATTATCCAGCACCATGTCCTGAAAGC